GTTTAGAAGCAGTAGAGTTCTTAGAAGTAATTGAGTATTTGTGTTGTTTGATGCGGTCTTTAAGTTGGTTTTTGGTTTCTCCAATATAGGCGGAGTTACAATTGGTGGTAGAGCAAGGAATGCGGTATACGATATTAGAGCGGTGTTGCGGAGCGATGGGGTCTTTTAGGTTGGAGTAAATATTGGCAAGTTTGTTATAGTTTTTAAAAACAACTCGCAGGTTGGGAATAGAGGAACGTAAAGATTTTTGAATTCTATCCGAAAGTAAAGGGATGTATGGTAGAGATCTATATAAAGGAATGGGGGGCTGATTTTGAGAACTAGAGAAAGGGATGGAGGATGAGGGGCGGGTTTTGTAGTCAGTAATAAGTTTTTTAATGGTGTTGGAGGGGAAGTTATTAGACAATAGTATCCGTTGTATGCGTCTAGTGTTTGTTTCATGTAGGTAAGGGTCAGATAGAGAAAAACATCGGTGAATGAGGTTTTTGGCAACGTTAAGTTTTTGGTGAAAGGGGTGTTGAGAATAGTAGTTGAGTAATCTGCCAGAGTATGTTGGTTTTGTGTACCAGTCTGTGGATAAAGTATTGTTGGGATGTCTTTTAATGAGAAGATCGAGGAAAGGGAGGGAATAGTTATCTTCGTATTCAACTGTAAAAGAGAGGCGGGGATGATATGAGTTAAAGGCGGAAAGGATGTCAGGAATAGTATCAGGATTGACGATGAGAAGAAGGTCATCGACGTATTTTTTTATAAGAAATATGTCATTAGGAAACTGTGGGGCTATGGTGTTTAGGAGATCATTAAGAACAATGTTAGATAAGTCGGGTGCGAGAGGATTACCCATAGCTAATCCTGCAATTTGATTATAAAATTGTCCATGGAACTGGAGATAACCAGATTTGCAACAAAGTTGTAGGGATTCAATAAATGATGAACGGTTAAGGGAGGTATGAGACTCTAAGGATGACCAGTTATTTTCTACTATAAGAAGGGCTTTATCTATAGGGATGTTGGTGAAGAGGCTTTTAACGTCGAAAGAGACTAGAATGTAATGACAATGACCTTAGTCATGACAATCCATATGATATCCACAACTCTTTTCATCTACGTAATTTGTTATTATCCCTAACCATTCCCGATAATTACATTCTAGTCTCTTTCGACGTTAAAAGCCTCTTCACCAACATCCCTATAGATAAAGCCCTTCTTATAGTAGAAAATAACTGGTCATCCTTAGAGTCTCATACCTCCCTTAACCGTTCATCATTTATTGAATCCCTACAACTTTGTTGCAAATCTGGTTATCTCCAGTTCCATGGACAATTTTATAATCAAATTGCAGGATTAGCTATGGGTAATCCTCTCGCACCCGACTTATCTAACATTGTTCTTAATGATCTCCTAAACACCATAGCCCCACAGTTTCCTAATGACATATTTCTTATAAAAAAATACGTCGATGACCTTCTTCTCATCGTCAATCCTGATACTATTCCTGACATCCTTTCCGCCTTTAACTCATATCATCCCCGCCTCTCTTTTACAGTTGAATACGAAGATAACTATTCCCTCCCTTTCCTCGATCTTCTCATTAAAAGACATCCCAACAATACTTTATCCACAGACTGGTACACAAAACCAACATACTCTGGCAGATTACTCAACTACTATTCTCAACACCCCTTTCACCAAAAACTTAACGTTGCCAAAAACCTCATTCACCGATGTTTTTCTCTATCTGACCCTTACCTACATGAAACAAACACTAGACGCATACAACGGATACTATTGTCTAATAACTTCCCCTCCAACACCATTAAAAAACTTATTACTGACTACAAAACCCGCCCCTCATCCTCCATCCCTTTCTCTAGTTCTCAAAATCAGCCCCCCATTCCTTTATATAGATCTCTACCATACATCCCTTTACTTTCGGATAGAATTCAAAAATCTTTACGTTCCTCTATTCCCAACCTGCGAGTTGTTTTTAAAAACTATAACAAACTTGCCAATATTTACTCCAACCTAAAAGACCCCATCGCTCCGCAACACCGCTCTAATATCGTATACCGCATTCCTTGCTCTACCACCAATTGTAACTCCGCCTATATTGGAGAAACCAAAAACCAACTTAAAGACCGCATCAAACAACACAAATACTCAATTACTTCTAAGAACTCTACTGCTTCTAAACTCTCTGAACACGCCTTAACCTCTAACCACACATTTGACTTTGACAATACCTCCATTCTTGCCACAGTACCTAACCACGACAAAAGACTACTTACGGAAAGTGTTTTCATTCAATTAGACTACAAACCACTAAACTTAAAAACCGACAAGCAAAATCTATCACTCGCCTACTCCCAAATCATCAACATTTTAAAAAAGTCTCGATCATAAACCTCTATTTAATCTTCTCACTTCCATTTATACTTTCTTTTACTTCTCCTTTTATATATATATATATATATATATATATATATATATATATATATATATATATAGATTTATTATATATATTGTTATTTATTATATATATATATATATATAAATTTAAATTTATTATATATATATATTTATTAAAATATATATATTTATTAAAATATATTTATTAAAATTTATTATATATATATATATATATATAAATTTATTATATATATATTTATTATATATATGGTTATTTTTACTAGAACTTTTTTTTTGACACTGCTAACTAGAGTTTTTGACACTGCCAGTGTTTCAACCGCCTCCCGCAGTGCCACATCCAACGGTATGTTTTGACTTTTATTGAGATTCCTTTCTTAACACACCTATCCTTCAACTATACACCTTATTATTATCTTCATATAGCCTACCATTCCATTACCGCTTTCAAAAAACTAAATGTCAATTGTCATCTATATATAGTACAACCTGTTTTTTGTTTCTTTATCATCATAACCTTGTTTTTACATTTATTCTTACATTTTAAAGTATTCTTTTAAAATTATTGTTTTCTTATAGAGTTATTTATACTTAATAATCTATCCCAACAATATTACACTAATGTTACCCTATTAATCTTTCAATTTCTTCACTTCTTAACCTTTGGTCCCGTTATCTGTTTATTTACAATTAAAGGTAACCTCCACTTGCTTGTTATCCACTGATATCTTATTATTATGTTATCTTATCCATATTTTAACTTTACTGTAACAATAGTTATTCAATTTTCAATCAATTTATTCGTTAACATTCATTTATTCGTTAACATTCATGTATTTATTTTCTTTTATCTATTTTCTTATCATGTATTTATTTTCTTTATCTTTTATTTCTGTATCTGACAACTTCTTCGTAATTTATATATACTTATATTTATTTTTTATTTTATTTTTATTTTTTCAACATGTTTGTATCTTTTGTAGCCCTGAAGACGACCTGCAAAGTGGGTCGAAACGTCGGCAAAAATTAAAATTATTTATATATTTTAATTTTTTTTATTTTTTGACCGCACCCTCGACTAATTCCTTCTCATATCATATCAACGGTCAACCAACTCTACATCATTATCAATATTATTGTTGTGTTTGAAATACGTTAATATAAGTTTAATCCATAATTAGTGTTAACAACTTACGGAGTTCGAATCATCACAGACTATATCTGTTGCACTTAAATTGCTGACATCATTGAATCATTAGGTACGTTTAATTCTGCCTTCTTTAGATATCCCCAATAAAGGAACTTTGTAATGTGTTTCTATATACTAATTTGAATTGTAAATTACTATTGACCTCACCTTTTATTATTTTTAAATTATTATTTCCCAGTATCAACGAAAAAAATCACTTATTCTTTTAACCTAAGTTGAGTGGATCACTTAATTTATTATGTTGTATTAGGTGTGAATATCAACCATTAATTTTATTACTCAACAAGAGGCAAATTATTTAATTTTCAATATTAAAAGTAAATCATAATCATGATCTCTGAAATTGGAGGTAAAAGGGTTTTGCTAAATATTATTATTATTAATATTTTTTAGTTTTATAAAACTTTTTATCTTTAAAAGATAAGGCACTGTTCCTATTGTAGATAAGATAATTTTGTCTATTGAATGTCTAATTCTGATTACATCATGAAATTATTTTATTCTTTTTATTTTATTAATAAATTAACTTAAATTTTATTTTAATTTATATTAGATCGATGTAAATTTAAAGTCAAATATTAAAACTTATTAAAAAAAAAATTAATAAATAATTAGATAAGAAAATAGCAAATTTGAGAAAGAAGCTGTATTAGATCAATCAAATTGCTAGCTGTGTTCATTAAGGATTGATTCTTTAAATAAAATTAATGCCAAATATTATCTGATTTATTTCCCTATTTTATATATATATATATATATATATATATATATATATATATATTAATTTATTAATTTTATTTATTTAATTATTTATTTTATTTATATTTAATTTATTTATTTAATTTTATTTTATATATATATATATATATATATATATATATATATATATAATGAATACTTGCAGTCTTAATACTTATCGTCTCTTGATAGGGCAGATTATATTATTATGCAAGAAAATAAAAAAATATCCTATTTATTAAATTATTTGTAAATAACGGTGATGATAGGGATTGCTGCTAAAAATAAAGCACTACTCTACATACTGATAGATTTAAGCTTTTTTGTTCTATTTCTTACGCCATCTTCAAGGCGCAATGTAAGTTTTAAATGGAAAAAGAGCCATCATTGTAATTTAACTTTTCATGGTTAGTAAAGGTCTCTCTTCCCTTTATATCTTACACAATATCAAAAAGATAAAGTGAATAGCGGGCCATAACATGATTCATTCAAAGTATGTCTCAACAGTGTGTTTTATTTTAACTTCTGTCATCCACCTGTGATCGTCATTTAGATTGTTAATAGTATCAAATATTTTTATTTCACATATTATATTGATTGTCACGTCTATTGTGCTGTATTTCAGAAATGTGGTATCAGATATACTTATGGGCCTTATTTTCCTCTTTACTTGTTCACGTGATAGCCGCTATTGTTGCCTTTGGAACACTTAGGAAACATCACTTTGGCAAGTAAGCTCATTTATTTTATTTTTATACCCAAAATTTGGCTATATTGTCCATATGTTTCCTTTTGATCATTCATATATTATGATTGAACTGTAATAATCTATTTTAAATTAGCCATTTTCTCTGTATACTGGATGAACAATGTTTGAGGAAGGCTCTTTTGCCATACAAGGTTTTCTGGTTTTTGTTTTAACTGAAGACATTCGATTCAAGTTCATTTCAAGGGGGCTCTGTTATATCATAGCAATCCTATTGTGGCTAAGAAGAAGTTTTTTTGTTTAATTTTGCCATTTATAAAATTCTATTCAAATATAAGTCCATTATTCTTTTCTCTTTGACCGAGATTAAAGATGCAACGATGGTTAAAGGAGGTTCTTTTTATTTATTTTTTTCTCTTATGGTTTAATGCATATAATTAATTTAATGTAACCACCAATAATTGTAAAAAAAAAAAAATAATAAATTTTACGGGTGATAAATATTCAGGACACAGTCATTATAAGATTTTTAATAGTGCCGACTTTTCAACCCTAACACGTGGGTCATGGTTCGAGCACTGAAGATATTCAAGTACTCCTCAGTGTCAGTCATCTTCAGTGCTTGAACCACGCCCTGATGTTGACCCACGTGTTTGGGTTGAAACGTTGGCATTAATAAAAATCTTATAATGACTGCATCCTGAATATTTATCACCCATGATATGTAGAACAGTTGACTAACTTGCTTCAAAAATAAATTTTAATTTTCTTTGAGTTTAAAATGTTTGTAATTTAAGAATTATTTTTTATTTATTGAGAAGACCTGTAACTCTACTTTCTTTCACTCCATTATGGTTGAAATATTAGGCAAACCTCAAGAATGCTTAATTAAAACAAATCTATATTAAGTTAATTGTAAATTTTCTATTTCAATAAATCTCTTTAAAACAAATTTATACTAATGTTTTTATTCTCAATAGAATTTAGCAGGCCCTAAAATCGCTCATTCAAATTTCTTAATCCTTTTGAACTACATTGGCAACAACTAGGCTTAAATTGTCTCTGCGTACTTCTGTTTCAGAAATAGTGGAGATGGCCAAATTTTAACATATATTTTATTCCAAAAATGTTCTTATATTTTATTATGCTGCTAAAATGATATTTTCATAAATGGCTCATTTTAAAGCTGTCACCTGAGTTTTTTTTTCTTCAAAAAAATAAATGTTCGACCTATCCAACCTTTACTCCATCTTTAAATTTGGTATAAATCTAACCAATTTATGTCGGAATAAAATTTTTTAATCTCAAATAATTTTTAAGGTTTTCAATATTTTAAAAGAAGTAAAAAAAACAAAATCAATTTTTTGTGAGGTTGTTACACATTGAACTAAAGCTCACATAATAAGCTTTTGAATTTATGGGTATTTTTGTGATCTAAAACATGTTGAAATTTGGTTATCTATGCAATTTTGAAAAATGATTATTAAAATAAAATTTAATGAATAGATTTGCAATGTATTTAGTGAGTATGACTAACTTGGCAAAAATCATGTTAATTGAAAACATTCAGATTAAAAAAAAAAAAATTTATTATTGAGTGATTTGACACGGAATGATTATTATATATATATATATATATATATATATATATATATATATATATATATATATATATATTTGTTTAACCTTTGTGTATACATAGTGCAATCCATAAGTTTTCCTATTTCATGCATGCTAAGACCTGCACACTTTGCACGTAGCAGCATACTGCTCTCTCCACATCTATCGCCGCACTTCCTTTGTCCTGTCAATTGGTGTCTAGCCTTTAAGAAAACTTTGCATTTTTACAATATTGTGTGTTTATCAAATTTTTCTGTAATGAGAGTCTTACTCCTGCGAAAGTTAAAGATTGCTTCAAAATGTACATGGGCAGTCTTCCCTCTCTTTTTCTATTGTAAAATAATAGCAAAATTATTTAAGTTGAGAAGAGAACATGCGATTTTACAAGGGTTCCAAGAAATCTCTCATCCATCCTACAGTCCAGACTTGTCGCTAGCGACTTATACCTTTCCTCAACATTAAAATCTGACCTTCATGGGAGATTTAACACTGATGAATAGGTCCAAGCAGTGGTGGAAGAACATTTTTCTAGCAAAGAAAATAATGTTTTTTAATGGCATAGAAATCTTGCCTAAACACTCAATTAAACGGAACTTATAGGATAATATATTGAAAAACAATAAGTCCAGTTTTTTTTCTTTCATCTTCCCTTCTTTTCCTTGGCTGGAAACAACCGCATTACGTAACCTCTACAATGCTTTTTTGTATCTTGTATTCACAATTTTTTTATTTTCAGTATACTTATAGAACATATTCCTCCTGTTCCTCTAAATGAGGAGATTTGACTTGATTATGTATTAAGATTCTGTATTTAATTACTGTTTCTCCTTTAGGCATTTAATTTCTTAAAGAGATCTTGTTTTTTCTTGTTTTTTTTTTTATTTAGATTTTTTCCACTGCTCATCTTGGTCCTGGGTATGTTTGGACCTTTGGTTTCTGGTGCCCTGTCATCAGGAGCTATAGCATTTGTCTATCGAGCTGCGTCTCTTCAAATGTCGCCGCTCTACGCCTGCCTCTGGGGTATAGGGCAGACGATGGTAGCGGCAGCCGTTGGCTTTACCAGGATCTTAGCTACATTATAACATCGTCATATATCATTACGAATGCCACCTTCCACCTCCCCTGTATAAGGTTGATGACGTTTGTATACCTTGTGATATTTTTAGAAACCTAGTATACTTTTGCCTGCCATTGTAGGTGAATAATACTATTCCATGTGATATGTTAAATGTTTTTATTGAACGAGATTTATGTATAGTCACTTTTACTGTGTATTTTATTTCGTTTGTTTGTAGTAATGATCCTGAGAATTAAAAAAGATATCCAAATATTACATTTAGGATTAATCTTTTGATTGTTAATTTTTTTTAGAGGCATTGTCTACTATGATTTCCTATATAAAAACATTATTTATAGGTTGTAACAGGCTTATACCTCAGTGATATCAATGATAGTGTGTAAGGTATGATCATCAAATGAGACTTTTAACAGATCATCTACCCCAAAGTGTAAATTATTATCAACTTTGTTTTAATATTAATCTGTCGTTAGGCATTTCTTTTGAATTATGCTGTTGGTTGTTCGATGATTAGTGTATTAGAGTTCAGTGAACATTATTTTATAATCATCATTATTAAGTATTTTAGTTGTTGTTTTTTTAGTTGTTTTTTTTTTAGTTTTTTTGTTTTATAACATTTAACACATACATGTTATTGGAATAATCAGTATTGTAGAAATAGCTTTTATGAAGTGAATTTTTCAAAATTGTAGGATTATATCATCTTAGTTGTTTTTAAAGCTAAAAATGTTTATAAAAAAGTTGAAGGCTGTTATTTATGTTACCATTCTTTCAAAACCCTAAGCTCTGTAAATTAAAAAATTACAAAATAAAAGAAAACTCTAAAAATCTGTTTGCCATGAAAAATGGGGGTGATAGAAGTTGTAAATATGTGTATAAGAAGTTTAGAAAGCTGAATTGGGAGTCTTGTAAATTTCGACTGATTAAACTAAGGCTGACAAAGAGGTCCTACACTTAAATTACTTTAGAGTAACTTATGACGAACCTAATATCGTTATTATTTAAATTGTTAGGAATGAAATGCAACAGTTAATATTATTTAAAATGGCTGGTAGTTGGTTATTGGTTTTTTTTTTTTTCTGCATCTAACTTTTATTTAGCTTTCGCTTTTCCCCTCTTGATGTTAGATAGGTATTATCCATTGCTCTGTCGTCCATTTTCTTCACAACGATTTTTAAAACTCATATCATATGCTGAATCATAAAATATATTTATCCTGATAAAGTAAGTTTTGTACAATGTTATCAAAGAAATAGGTTTATAGGGTTTTTTGTTAGCTTATTCTTAATTTTTGAAAGTATTTATTTCAAATATTACATGGGATTTTATATATTTTAATAAACACATAATTTATTCATGGATTATTGTGTGATAATGTTAAATGTCAATTTAACATTGAATTTGTAAAAATTTAGCTAAAAGGGGTGAGCTTGTGCCTATATCAAATGCTCAATATGAGAACTGATAAAGGTAGTATAGAGATCGTTTCAATTTTTTTTTGTGAGATCTGTCTTAACTTACACTTATTTATAGATCTCCTGGGTCAAAAAAAATTAGTTCTTTAACGTCCTTAATTATAACCAAGCAGGGTTAAAAGCAATCACAAACCTAATCCATTTTATGAAAATATTAAGTATATCAAAACTAAGGCAAAAAAATTCTTAAAATGTTTTTTGCTTGTAGAAAAAGTTGCTTTTAATTTTAAGAGATGGGTATATGGCCGAATATTGAAATTATAAGGATAAAAAATTGTTAGGATTTGCAGTCAAAAATTTCTTTATTGAGTTAGCCGACGTTTCGACCCAAATACATCTTCATCAGAGCTGAAAATTAAAAAATATAAAATAACATTAGAAAAGGGATAAATATGAAAGTATTAGAGTAATAAGTGTAAAGAATAACACTAATAAGATAATAATAATTAGAGGAAAGAATAACGTCAGAAAAATGATAAAATGGATGATAACTAATCAGGATACAGACATTTTAAGATTTTTATTGTTACTGACGTTTCAATTCAAGCTTGTGGGTCATCATCAGGGCATGTTACCAGCACTGAAGGTGTTCTAGTACTCAGTACTCGGTACTTGCTTTAATTACTTTTAGTACTTGAACACCTTTAATTCTGGTAACATGCTCTGACGATGACCCACAAGCTTGGGTTGAAATGTCAGCAACAATAAAAATCTCAAAATTACTGCGTCCTGACTATTTATTACCCATGATATATAGAACAGTTGACTAACTTCTTTCAATGATAAATATAAAAGTATAAGAGAAGAAAGGGGTGAAGCATACAAATGAGGGAACGGTTATATAAACATGGTAATAATAAAAACATTAGAATATGCTAAGAAAATGTTTTTTTGTTTGGAATAAATGAAAAAGGTAAGTATATTAAAAGTAGAAATAAATAAACAAAATAATTAGCGTAAATATAATTATTATTTATTGAATTGTTTTTTTACTCAAATATTTTGTTATTTATTTGTAATTTTAATATACTTACCTTTTTAATTAAATACAAAAACATTTTGTTAGCATATTTCAATGTTTTTATTATTGTTATGTTAATATTACCGTTATCTCATTTGTAGGTTTCACCTTTTTCTTCTCTTATACTTATCATTTTTCCAATGTTATTCTTTAGTTTTATTATTAATATATTTATCATTGTTCTACTGTTATTTTTTAATTTTTAACCCTGATGATTGCCCACATGTTTGGGTCGAGGAGTCCCAATAAAGAAATTTTTGAGTGCACATCCTGACAATTTTTCATGTTTATTTTGATTTTTTAATTTTTTTTACAATATGCTAATAGTTCTAATTTAATATTCAAATTGGACATTAAAAGATTTGCTACTAAAAACTGTGAAATGTGTCAATTGAACATTTTTAGCTGTATTTATTACTGTTTTGAAAAATTAAATACATTTTTTAAAATGAGATCAAATTTAAGTGAGTGTCATATTATCACATTTTGTGAGAATATATATTTGTTTTCAATTGACTGAAACCTTTCTTTTTATCAAAATTATTTATTCTTTAATGAACCTACGAAAAAACCTCTATTATTATTATTTGTTTAAGGAGGCAGACAAATTTATTGAATGTTAAAAGAAATTGTAAAATAATTTTAGTTAGATTATTATTATTAACATATGAATATAAATTTATTAGCTTCAAAGGAGCTCTATTGCTTCAATTTTAATTTCTCACTGATCCGCCAAATAGACATTATATTTTTTTTTTAAATGTGAGCTTTTTTTTATGAATTATTTATTGATATTTCTAATGTAGTAATTTAAAAAAATAGTTTTCTTAGGATTGTTTTATTATTATTATGTATACTGGTATAAAATTTTTTTACCCAGTAGGAAAATGGATTTAGAGTGTATTTTGTATTGGCAATATGTACATAGTGTTTATAATACCTAAAATCTGAAACTATATTTTCTCTACCATGACTATATTTGATAATGTTTAAACTTTTATTTTATTTTACCCTTTAGTTAAAAATATATTTATACACATTTTATTATTAATTATTGTTAATTTTTTTAATTTGGAGTTGAGCAAAGACCCGAATTTTTGATGGATTTATACATATATCTTGCCAAAATGTAGGTTTATTTATTATGCATTAGTATATGTTGTATTGTATGTATAGATATTTTGTTTCACCTCAGTTCCATCTTGCTTGATTTCAATCAATATTTAGTTCTAATTGTTTTTAGAAACTTAGTTTTTCCATATTCAACTTATACTAATATTGTTAGAAGGAACCGAAATAAATCTTCAATTGGGAAAAATCAATTGCGTAATATGAGAAAATTTTATGGATTAAAGTGCAAGGTTCTTTGAATAGTGAAGTATAGAAATTCCATTGTATAGAAGACATTATAAATTTTGCTGGTCTTTGAGTTATAATTTATTAATTATATTTTTTATAAAGTAAACAAAGTTGGTATCAGTCAATTAAAATTTTAAATTAATGTACAGAAAGTTTTTCCTTATTAAAATTTAGTACAGTTCCTGAGAAAAACTTTAGTACATTGAGGTTTTTTGTTTATAGAGGTTTTGCATATAGGGATTTAATCTGTAAATATTCAACTGGGAGGGGGTTTAATTTCAATTAATGCAAGATCGAATGTTATTTATTGAATAGTATCCTGTGTCTCTTGAAAAATTTAATGAACTGTGCCAGAAATTGGTCTGTATATTATTGTTGGTATAATAATGACATATTGATCTGCAAACCACTTGATAATAATGTTAGAGGTTCTTTGATTAAGATAGCAATAAGTTAAATAACATGAGATATAAGTTATTATGTTTTCCCATTAAAAAAAAAAAAAACTTTTATAAATCTTCAGTTTGTTAATCATACATTTTCTTATTTTGCTCAGCTCAACAATTATGTTTCTTTCTTTACATATATATATATTGTTAAATTATGTATGCAGTCAGGTTGTAGTTTATATTATTATTATTATCCATGATTCATTCTATGCTCAACCTGATTTCAAATTTCGAAAGGTTGTACTTTTTACCAATTAATTAGTAATAATAAATCAATGGAAAACTTAATGTGCCTAATTAGCTTACATGTAACGATCTAGGCTTTAGCATTTTATATATTTGTAAATATATGTGTGTACTGATTTATATATGTGTGTATATAGATTGGATATATAGTTGTAATCTGTTTATAACTTAAGGGCGCACACTGAATTTAGGAAAAAAAATATATGTTATTAATGTATGTAATTACTACATGTTTTTACCTCGTGTAATCAATGTTGATCGAAATCAATTTTGTATATAATATGCACTATAAAAATTGTGTTTTGGTTACCAGTTTAGATGATTAAGTAAAAAATATAATTTGTTTTTGCTTAATTTCTTATTTCTCAACTATTTTTGTTTTCTCAATTTAATACTTAAGGGATTTCACTATTTTATATCAAAATTCGCTCATTACTGTCATAATTTCGATAGAAGCTTATATGGTACAGGAGTCTCTATGTATAAATAAAAATTTACCAAGATTTAACAGACTGGTGATCAAAAATGCAATTCAATATGTAATGCACTTCATAAAAATTTATATTACACAAAATGTTAGAGTTTAGTCGAATTATGAAGTTTTAAAAACTGACTTTCATCTATTTTGTTATAATTGTTTCATTGTTGATTTTATGTTACAGTTTTTTAATTTATATTTAGTTTTATCTACCTACTTTATTCTGCTTATTATTTAATTTTTTTTTTCTTAATGCTATATTAAAACATATCCAATATCTTACTCCTTTACTTCATTATGAATACAGGGTTTTGAATGTGGGTTTAGCATTTTATCTGCTGGAAATCCGTGAAATAGATGAAATTTATTTACTACGTTTGTTGAGTCCAATCAAACAATTTGGGATAATTATTTCAGTTGCCTTTTCTTAATAAATATTTTTAAACCTATCATCCTATTGCTCGAAAAATTTTGTTTCAAACTTCATGAATTTTTAATAGT